AAAAATGCAGCTACACCCAGGCAAAGAAACGGGAAAGCTTTAGGCACAAAGCAAGGATGTAACTGTAGGATCTGTTTATTTGAAAGCAAACACAAAAGCCCCAAACTTGGGGAACTTTGGCTGTTCCCAAGCTGCCCCAGAGGTGCAGAGGGATGCAGGACCATACCTTGCTCTGGGTGAACTCYCTGAACATGGCAGCCAGGCCATCGTCGTCCACGTCGCTGTCGGTTTTGATGGCCACGTTGAGGATGTGGATGGGCTCCTCCCGGGCACTCTGTGGGCACAGGGCAATGTTCCCTGGTTAAACAGGCACCACCCCCCAAAACAGGCTTCTGAAACCCAGCCCTAAAGCCCTGGGGGAATGGATGAGTGACTCCATCTCASAGCAGCACCAGGGAAAACTGAGGGAAACCCTGGACCAGACAACCTCAAAATCTGCACAGAAATCAATGTCCTCAAACACCAAACAGGAGCTTCCTTTGGAGAACCCAAGCCTAAAGGGCAGACAGGACACAGACTTAGTACCTCTCTTTATCAGGAGCAGCACAAGGACTGCAGAGGGCTTTGGCATCAAGGGCATTAATTAAATTAATCAAATTCCAAGTGTAGGGGCAAAACAATGAGAGTTTTCATATCTACACCACCACGAAATAATGTGGAGGCACCAATTACATCAAAGCTCCAAGGAATGGCAAATTCAGCCTTTAGGGGCTTGTGGTTAACTGGGAAAAGGTGAATATGGCCAGGAAATTACCCTGGAGAGGTGAGTGGGATGTAAAGAGAGGGATGTGAGGACATGGAAGCTGACAGCAATAATCTGGGAAAAGCTGCAGTGCTTACAGAGATCGGGATCAATGGCCAGTGGAAAACAAAGCCCATAAAACACAGACCATGTTCCAGCAGAGCTCCCACTCTCTGGAGCTGCTGACTTGGATTAGGGACCTCCTGCCTCCTGTGCTCCACATCACTGCACAAACCCAGGGCTCCACTCAGCTTTTCCTCCTAAAAAACCACTCTGAGAGGTAAAATAGAGGGCAGAATCAGGATTTAAGGAGGATTTAAGAGGGCAGAATCAGGATTTAAAGATGATTTAAGAGGGCAGAATCAGGATTTAAGGAGTATTTAAGGGGGCAGAATCAGGATTTAAAGATGATTTAAGAGGGCAGAATCAGGATTTAAGGAGGATGTAAGAGGGCAGAATCAGGATTTAAGGAGGATTTAAGAGGGCAGAATCAGGATTTAAGTTGGCTGGGAAGGGTGTGAGACAGAAAACACAGCAAATCAGATGTAGGACAAAGCCAGCTGAAGTTGCAGCTGAACATCCTGGGGCAGAGAGAAGTTCTGGAGTTCAATGGAGGATTTAAAAATCTCAGTTACACCACTGTGCATCCACTCATCCTGCTGTTCAAATGAACTGAGAGCAAGAGGCTGAGCTGTGATTTTAGAACAGAGCAGGGAAAGGGCTGGGGAAYGAGCACACAAACCCCAACCACAAACACCCAGAGCTCCTCACTGCAGCCAGGGAGGAACAGCCTGAGAGCCCCTTCCAGAAAAATGCCCAGTTTACCTTGTCCTCATCGTAGAGGGAAGCGTGGCCAGCCTCAGGGAAGGTGGGGCTCTGCGGGGGAGAGTCACAGAAACAGCCCATGACTTCATCAAAGATCCTGGAACACAACAGAGAGGAGCAGTCAGCAGCACAGAGAGCAGCCAGCACCCACCCACCCGTCCTGGCAGGAAAGGGATGCTCTAAGGTGAGGAGAAAATTCCTAAACCACAGTATGGATTGTCCAGACCTCGGGGCTGCTCAAAGGTGAGGAGGAAATCCCTCAAAACACAGTCTGGATCATCCAGACCTTGGGGCTGCTCCAAGTGAGGAGAAAATCCCTCAAAACACAATCTGGATCATCCAGACCTCGGGGCTGCTCAAAGGTGAGAAAGAAATCCCCAAATAACAGTCTGGATCATCCAGCAGTGTCAGAAAYTTCCTGACTGCTCCAAGGTGAGRAGGAAATCCCTCAAACCAGTCTGGATCATCCAGAAGTGTCAGAGAGTTCCTGTGTCCTCCAAGGTGAGGAGGAAATCCCTCAAAGCACAGTTTGGATGGTCCAGCAGTGTCAGAAACCTCGGGGCTGCTCAAAGGTGAGGAGGAAATCCCTAAACCACAGTGTGGATCGTCCAGACCTCGGGGCTGCTCCAAGTGAGGAGGAAATCCTCAAAGCACAGTCTGGATCATYCAGCAGTATCAGAAAGCTTGGGGCTGCTCAAAAGTGAACAGGAAATCCCTCAAACCACAGTCTGGATTGTCCAGACCTTGGGGCTGCTCCAAGGTGAGAAAGAAATCCCCAAAGAACAGTCTGGATCATCCAGCAGTGTCAGAGACCTCCTGGCTACTCCAAGGTGAGGAGGAAATTCCTCAAACCAGTCTGGACCATCCAGCAGTGTCAGAAACCTCCATGCTGCTCAAAGGTGAGGAGAAAATCCCTCAAAACATAGTCTGGATCATCCAGACTTCCTGTGTCCTCCAAGGTGAGGAGGAAATCCCTCAAACCAGTCTGGATCATCCAGCAGTGTCAGAAACCTCCAGGTTGCTCAAAGGTGAGGAGGAAATCCCTCAAAACACAGTCTGGATCATCCAGACCTCGGGGCTGCTCCAAGGTGAGGAGAAAATCCCTCAAAACACAATCTGGATCATCCAGACTTCCTGTGTCCTCCAAGGTGAGGAGGAAATCCCTAAACCACAGCCTGGATCATCCACGAGTGTCAGAGATCTCCTGACTGCTCCAAGGTGAGGAGGAAATCCCTCAAACCACAGCCTGGATCATCCAGCAGTGTCAGAAAGCTCAGGGCTGTTCAAAGGTGAGGAGGAAATCCCTCAAACCAGTCTGGATGGTCCAGCAGCGTCAGAGACCTCCTGATTGCTCCAAAGTGAGGAGGAAATCCCTCAAACCACAGTCTGGATCATCCAGCAGTGTCAGAGACCTCCTGGCTGCAGGCTGAGGGCTCTGTTGGTGGTTTGCCCACCCCACGAGGTTGGAAGCACAAAGAACCACCCCACAAACACACCCACAGAGAGAAATCAGCCCATTCCCAACRGTGCCCACCAGCAGGAACCCCCTGACTGCAAACCTGACAAAACTCACCCCAGGAATCCAACTCAGGAGCAGCCTAAACCTGAGCCCAGCCCTGGCACAGCCCC